AAGCAGAGCTCCTTTTTGCTTTCCATGATCATTCCTGGCAAGAAAGCACCAGGAAATGATATTGACGTATACCTGCAACCGTTGATACACGAATTGCTCGACCTATGGACGAATGGTGTTGAGGCATATGACTCACATGACAAGCAACTATTCAATCTCCGTGCAGCCTTGATGTGGACAATAAGTGATTTTCCCGGTTTGGGAACTTTGTCTGGCTGGAATGTGCATACTGGGTTGGCCTGTCCTGAGTGCAATTTTGATTCTGTGCCATGTCGCCTTCCACACAGTCGCAAGTGGTGCTTCATAGGACATCGACGGTTCCTTGATTCCAAGCACAGACTTAGATTGCAACGGATTCGCTTCGATGGGAAACAGGAGAAGAGAGATCCTCCTGTTACTTTGTCTGGTATGGATATTTTGCGGCAGTTAGAAGATGTTCATATCGAGTTTGGTAAGAGTGTGGATCCCGAACGATTGGGACGACGATCTCGTGGGACATCTGATACGCAACCTATGCAATGGCGGAAGAGAAGCATATTTTTCACTCTTCCTTATTGGGAATCTAATTTGCTACGACACAGTTTGGATGTTATGCACATTGAAAAAAATGTGTGCGATAATGTGCTATATACGTTGCTCAATGAAGCTGGAAAGTCCAAAGACCATCTCGCAGCTAGAAAAGATTTACGGGCCTGGGGAATTCGTGAAGAGGCTTGGCCTGATGAAAACGACAAGTTTCAGCCAGCTAAATTCACCTTGACAAAGCAGAACAAGGATATCTTCCTCTCGACGTTGAAGAACATAAAAGTACCAGATGATATTCTAGCAACATCTCAAGGTGTATCGATCTGCAGGCTCGAAAGGTTACTGGGTTGAAAAGTCATGACTCTCATGTTCTTATGCAACAGTTACTTCCATTGGCCTTGAAAAACACACTTCCTTCTGATGTATCGGTGGTTTTGGTAGAATTATGTTCATTTTTCAAGAAGTTGTGTGCGAAGGTCTTGGTAGCGGAAGAGCTTGATCAGCTGCAAAATAAAATTATTCTTACACTTTGTCACTTGGAGATGATATTTCCTCCATCATTCTTTACTGTTATGGTTCACTTGACTGTCCACCTTGTTCGAGAAGCAAAGGTTGCTGGCCCAGTTCACTATCGATGGATGTACCCTATAGAGAGGTACTAGATTATCTTTTATTCCCGCCTCTTTAAATTTCACATTGTTCTTTCATTTACTCGTAATTATTAATGCAATTTTAACTTACAGGTACTTGGGAAAATTAAAATCATATGTTAGGAATAAGGCATGGCCTGAGGGGTCAATAGCAGAAGGTTATTCCGGAGATGAGGTCCTAACTTTCTGTTCGAGGTACTTTGATGACATGGAGACATCTTTTAACCGCCCGCGTCGCGTAGATGATTCTCCTCCCGGTCCTTCCACGTCAACTTTATTTCCTCCTGTTGGGAAACCAGTTGGAGGATATGAATTCTTCAGACTCACTCCTACAGAGAAACTCCAGGCACACAGACACGTTTTGATAAATTGCAGCCAAGTTGAACCCTTCATGCAGTAAGTATATATATCATATAAGCTCACTAGCTTTTACACTTTATATTTGTTTCTTACTGACTCTTCTAACAAATTACACTTTACTATAGTGAGTTTAGGAGTTATCTCAGGCGTCAGCTACGGGGCCGTGCGCGTTCTGCTGACATTGATAAAAGAGTCCACAAAGAGTTTCCCAGTTGGTTTACACGTCGAATACGTAATGACAACAGCCCATACACAGATGAATTCAGAGCTCTTTCTCTCGGTCCGTTAGACCATGCACGAAGGTTTACCGCGTACAATGTCAACGGCTTCAAGTTCTGTACGGTTGGACGTGATCAGGGATTGCTCACACAAAACTCTGGAGTTTGCGGGACATTCGGAACGAGATGTTATGCTAGCAGTAGTGATGGCGATATGCGCTTTGGAGGCGTCACTTACTATGGAAAGCTAATTGACATTATTGAGTTGACTTACCAGCTTTTCACCGTGACACTGTTCAAATGCTCCTGGGCAAATACGACAACTTCACGGGGACTCGCTACTGACCATTTGGGCATCACCTCAGTCAATTTCTCTAGACTTATTCATACGGGGGCATCTGAAGATGATGAGCCATATATCCTTGCTTCTGAGGCACACCAAATTTACTATGTCGAGGACGAGAAACATAAAGACTGGAATATGGTCGTTCACCTCAAGCCACGGGATCTTTACGATATGGGTGATGGTGACATTATTTACGACAGTGAACCCTTCCAACCCTCGAATTTTGAAGACTTCTTTCCTCAAGGAGATGATAATTTGCCACTTATCAGGTACACGTCTTTTCTTAAATTATTTAAATAATTAACTACTAATTACTAATTTTTTCCAAATACAACATAAATTTAACAAATTTTTTTAAAATGTGTCCTTTCAGGCCGGATGATGATGGAGAGTAGCAGCATCCAAAATAAATTATTTAACAAATTTTTCGTCCATAAATACATATGTATAAATTAAAATTCGTAAAATTTTTTTAAAAATAAAAAAATTTTCATTTGTAGCGGTTCATAACCGCTACAAATTTCTTTCACGAAATTGTAATTTGTAGCGGTTATTAACCGCTACAAATGTATTTTCACGAAATTGTAATTTGTAGTGGTTAATAACCGCTACAAATTACAATAATTTGTAGCGGTTATTAACCGCTACAAAATACATACCTGTAAATTAAAATTCGTTCAGATTTTAAAAATAAAAAATACTAAATTTCTAGCGGTTAATAACCGCTACATATATAACCGCTACTAAATACTAGCGCTTATATATACGCTAGAAAATGAATAACAGCTACAAAATGTTATAAAACGCTACAAAACACCGCTACAAATGTGTCGCTGATCTCTATAAATACCATATCTTCTCTACATTCATTTACTCCATCTCTTTTCCTTCCTCTCCTATTCTTCTTCATAATTCTCTCTTTTTTTCTTACTATCTCATATTGTGGTTTTTTTCTCTTTACTCTATGGTAAGTGAATTTTATTTTATAATTCATTGTATCTTTTATTTGTTTTTATTTAAAATTTACTAACATATTTATTTCTCCTTTCCTTTCAGATTTTTCTTCTCCACATTTGTCATGCCCTCCTCAACTGATTCAAATACTCATCAACCTAATACTATAGGTTCAATATTCCAAATATATCATCTTCAATTCAACTATCTTATTAAATATTCAATTAAATTATCTTATTAAATTAAATTCACTTCTTTTGACACATTCATAATTTAATTACATATTTTTTATTACAAAATTTGAATATATAAAATGTAACATATAACTAATTATACAAATTAACAAAAATTCTTCAAAATAATTTATTTAATGGTTTTAAAATTATAATATGAAAAACCATAAATTTTTTTTTCTGGCACGGTAAACATTTCTAGCGGTTCCGAACCGCTAGAAATATTTCGTCAAATTTAAATTTTGCGCCAAAATTTCTAGCGGTTCAAAACCGCTAGAAACGTTTTCCCGCCATTCCTGAAATTCAATTGGCGGGAAAATTTAATTTCCCAAACATTTCTAGCGGTTATATAACCGCTAGTAATTTTCGCGCGCTACTGAAATTATTTAATTCCCGGCAAAATGGATTTCGTTTAGCAGGTTTCTAGCGGTTAGAAAACCGCTAGGAATGTGTCTCTTCAGATATTTTCTAGCGGTTCGGAACCGCTAGAAATTTTCTATCGTTTTGACCATGATGTGTAGCGGTTGCGATAACCGCTAGAAATTTTTTCTTGCACCTGTTTTTCTAGCGGTTTCCTTAACCGCTACAAATTTTATTTGTTGCGGTTAAAACCGCTAGAAATGTAACACTCTAACCGCTAGAATTAACATATTTTTTTGTAGTGAGTGGTGGAAATAGGTGAGAAGAAAAGAAAATTTCTTAAAACTTTTCAAAACAAAAAATTAAAAACACAAAAAGAAAAACAGGAAAACATGTAAAAATTGTTTTGGTTTTTTTGTTTTTAAAAAACATGTTACTATTTTTTGCTTTTTAAAACAATCAACTAAAAACAATTTACCAAACAAGTGGGTTTTGTTTTTCTGTTTTTAAAAACAAAAAATTGTTTCCAAAACAAGAAAGCAAACAAGCCCTAAATTTTCGAATATTCAATTCTCATGCCGCTTCAAAATTCTTAGCACCAAAGTAATTAGAAAAATGAGGGATAAATCCCTTATTAGAAAATTAATTGGCAAATAATGCCTGACCGGTTGCACAAAGGGATATAAGTTCCATGAAGTTGAGTTGCACATAGAAAAGATAATTTACACAAAATATTATTTGAACACAAGGGACTAATTTACAAATAAGGAATATAACTTGCCCACAAGGGAAGATGTATTGCATAAGGGAGAAATCCAATTTGGCAAAGAGAAGATGTGATACAAAAGAATAGGATCACATGCAAAAAGGAAAATAGGTTGCACACAAGAGAAGTTCAGTTACACACAAGAAAAGCTAAGTTATACAAAATCTTCAGCGACCTTTTGCCAATTAACTTCTTAATTAGGACCCGTTTGTTACGCTGAAAATCATGGGAAGAAAAAGGAAAATTCTGGCTTTTCATCAGTGATATGCGTTTGGTAGCACAATTTTCCTGCAAGAAATTTTCCAGCGGCGGGAAATTTTCCCTTATACATGGGAGGATGCCTTCCCCCCATTTTTTGTGGGAACGAATTTTCCATCATAGGCGAGAAAATGCACAAGACTGAATGGTACTTCAAATTTGAATAAAACGCTCAACACCTCATTGATGAAATCATCACGTGGAGTTGTTTGAATACCCAACACAACATCAAATCTCCATCTTAATTTGCCATATGTTTGAGTTGCTCAACCAACACACACGGATTAACCAACAAACATCAACATTTATTTAATAAGCTTTTTTTTTTTTTTAAATGACAAAGTAAACACAGACAAAACTAACTACTATTAGGTTCCTGGCACGCCGGCGACCACAGCCACTATCCTCCTTAACTATGTAGCCCAGCTGGCTTGGAAGCTCACTTAAGAAAGACAGATCTGTTACCAGGGTACTCGCAAACTTGGCAAGGGCGTCAGCAGCAATTTGCTTCTCCCTGTCACACACATGCAAGTCGACTACCCAATCCCGTTCAAGCGTCATTTGGACTTCATGCACTACGCCAGACTCCGGATGTTCCTTCCCAACACCCTTGATCACAGCGTTCACCGCCACAGCACAATCTCCTTCAATTTCCAGGTTTCTGAATCCTCGATCCCAAGCAACCTTCAATGCCCACAGGATGCTCCAAATCTCCGTTGATAAACTCGATCCAGAAGGCATTCGATGCAGGAAACCGCATAATACCACGCCCTCCTGGTTCCTCGCAAGCCCACTGCATCCACGTAGACTCTTTCTCACATCAAACGAACCATCCACATTGAATTTTACCTTCCCTTCGCCCGGTGGCTCCCAGCAAGGCATAACACCTGTGTTTGAGGCATGAAGAGCTGGCGTACTCCAAGCAAGACATGCTCGAGATCGTGCCAGTACATGAATAAAAAATGCTTTCATATGAACTAGATATGATTTTTCAAATCTAATTCAAAATCTGATGAGAAAAAATGTTTGTAACCCTTGCTCACTTTTTCTGGTATAACTTGAAAATTACAAGGTTTTTTGAATGGGTCTTGTTACATTAAAAACTAAACTTAGAGAGCTGTACAATAATAAGTCATTTGCCTAATTTGAGTTTAAATTTGTTAGAGTAAAAGCCCAGCCCACTGAAGACAAATCTCAGCCCAACACTTTATCTTTTTAGTCTCAGTTCTGCACTTGCTATACACGTGACACACTCACACATTTGCCGATATAAACGGCACTGTAGCTCTTTTTGAAAGGTGAAAAAGATGATTATCCATTTTTTCTTATCGTAGCTTGGGTCTTTGTTTTCCATTATGGTACCAGAGCTTCACGCTTCCCCATTTGTTGCAGGTCTTGATTTTCGAAAATGGCTTCCTCCACGCCATCTTCCACCTCGTCAACTTCGGCCACTTCTTCCATCTCTACTACCAGTTCTGCCTCTACTTTTGTTCCGCCTCATTTATCCCCCATCTCATCTTCTCCATCTCATTTTATTTCCATCAAACTCACAAATGATAACTATAGTATTTGGAAAGCCCAGATGGTTCCATATCTCCATGGCCAACAACTTTATTCTCATCTTGATAGCACCTCTCATCCTCCTCCTATGCTTCTTGACAATGGTGTTACCAATCCTGCATATATCTCATGGTTTCAAAAAGATCAATATATTCTCTTTGTTTTAATCTCTTCTCTATCTGAACCTTTAATGGGTCAATTCATCAAGAACAAGACAGCGCAGTCCATGTGGGAGGCTCTTGAAAGATCCTTTGCTCAAAAATCACAGGCTCGATTTCTTCATCTCCATAGTCAACTTACCCAGCTCAAAAAGGGGTCTGAATCTGTCTCTGAATATTACAAACGTGCCACACTACTTGCTGAATCACTAAGTATTGCAGGACGTCTAGTAGATGATCTTGATTTCATTTTGTATTTGCTGAATGGTTTGGGCTCAGATTTTGAATCCATTGTTGCTTCTCTGACCATGAAAACTAATGAACTTTCTCCTGAAGAAGTTTTAAGCTATCTTCTCATTCATGAAGCAAGGCTCAATACTTTATTTGCCCCCTCAGTTATAGACATCTCTGCAAATGCTGTTACCAGGCAACCTTTTTTTTCGCACTAGAGGACGTGGTGGTCGCTTTAACTCACGTAGGCGAGGACGCTTTGGATGCGATAGAGGGAGACTTTCTACTTTTTCTTTTCCTGGACCACACAACTCCTTTTCAGGCCCACACAACTTTTCAACCTCTTCTAGCACATATTGTTCTCTCTGCACTCGTTCTGGCCATGCTATTCAGAACTGCCCCCACCGCTATGATCATGCCTACCAAGCACCTCCGCCACCCTCCTTGGCAGCAACCCACAATACCTCTCTCTACAGCATACCAGACAACAACTGGTATTTTGATACTGGGGCCACCCATCACATGACCTCCAATTTGGCTAATCTTAATCTGGGTTCAAAACCTTACAGAGGCCTCGACCAAGTTAGTATGAGTGATGACTCAACCACTCCTATTGCTAACACTGGAGCTGGATTGCTTCCTCTTCCTTCTCCCTCTCCTAACATCCATGGCATTTACCTTCTCTCTGACCTCTTACATATCCCATCAATTTCCAAAAACTTAATTTCAGTTTCTAAATTTTGTTTAGATAATTACGTTTACTTTGAGTTTTACTCTTCTCATTTTGTTTTGAAGGACCTCATCACCAAGCAAACTCTTCTTCAAGGACCAACTAAGCATCTTCTTTATCCATCAAGTCCTCAGGCGTGTCTTGGAATCAAAACATCACCAGACCAGTGGCATGCTCACCTTGGGCACCCAGCACGAAGATTAGTTCAGTATGTTATAACTAAATACTCCCTTCCCACACTTAGTTCTTCTATTTCTTCTTCTTGCCCGGCTTGTAGAACCTCCAAGAGTCATGTTTTACCACACTCTCCCTCTACCCACCGATCTCCTTTTCCTCTTTTTCTTGTTTTTAGTGATGTTTGGGGTCCAGTCCCTATTTTATCTTGTTCTGGTTATCGATATTATGTATCGTTTGTTGATGATTTCACTCGATTTACATGGTTTTACCCTCTTCGTGCAAAGTCTGATGTCTCTAAAGCCTTTGTTTTATTTCAAAAACATGTGTTGAAAACTTATTTAATGCTAAAATAAAATTTCTGCAGTCTGATAATGGAGGTGAATACCAAGCATTAAGTCATATTCTAAAATCTCAAGGCATTGGTCATCGCCTGACCTGTCCATATTCTCATGCTCAAAATGGGACTGTAGAACGAAAACACAGACACATTGTTGAAACAGGATTAGCACTTCTTCATCATGCTTCTTTACCTCCAACATTTTGGACTCATGCTTTCGCCACTACTGTTTATCTCATCAACCGTCTTCCTTCTGTCTCTCTCAACTACAAAGTCTCCATATCAACTCCTTTTTCATTATAATCCTGATTATAATTTCTTAAAAGTTGTTGGTTGTGCATGCTAGCCTAATCTTCGTCCCTATGCTCCAAATAAATTAGAGCCAAGGTCTACTCTCTGCATTTTTATTGGATATGCAACTGATCATCATGGTTATCTTTGTTTTGATCCCAAGACACGACGCATATACATCTCTCGTGATGTAATTTTTGATGAAAACAAATTTCCTGCAGCTTAATCCACTACTATTGCCTTACCCACGTCCTACTCTCCCACTTTCGCCTTTTTGCCCAACATTTATATCTCACAGCCTAACCCCAACCCCGTTCAATTTTCTCATAATAATAACAATAATAATAATACTCCTCAGTCCTCATCTCTTAACCTGCCCGACCCTCATACTTCTCTCCATTCACCCATGTCTTCTGCCTCTTCTTCGCCTGACAGCTCTCTTGCCTCTCTCTCTCCTCCTTCATCTCCTTCTCCACCACCTCGTATGCTTACCAGGACACAAACTCACAGCCTACACCCCAAACAGTTCACGGATGGTACGATTCCCTGGCCACCACCCAAATCTCACCACACAACTCTTCTCCCGATTTGCCACACCAATCTCTCCACTCCTGATGTCCCCACTACAGTCACTTCTGCTCTTCGTATACCCGAATGGCGTTTTGCCATGGAAAGTGAGCTCAAGCCCTTCTCTCCACTCAAACTTGGTCTCTTGTTCCTCCACCACCACACAAATATAGTCGGTTGCAAATGGGTCTTTCACAACAAATTTCGCTCTGATGGGTCTCTTGAAAAGCACAAAGCTCGTCTTGTAGCCAAAGGATTCCACCAATCACCTGGAATTGATTACACTATACTTTCTCCCCAGTTATTAAGCCTGTGACAATTAGACTCTTGCTATCTTTGGCAGTCTCAAAGGGATGGACAATGAGGCAAAGATGTGCAAAATGCTTTCCTTCATGGCATGCTAACTGAAGAAGTCTACATGAGTCAACCACCCGGATTCAAGCACCCTCTATTTCCCAATCATGTGTGCAAGCTTAACAAATCTATTTATGGTCTCAAACAAGCTCCTCGCGTGTGGTTCTCCAAATTAAGCACTTGCCTCACTCAACTTGGGTTTGTTCCCTCTAAATCTGATACTTCTTTATTTTCTAGGATTTCCGTGTCATCCGCTCTTTATATTTTGGTATATGTTGATGACATACTACTCATTGGGTCTGATTCTACTGAGATATCTAATTTAATTGCTACTTTGAGTCATCAATTTCCTATCAAAGATCTTGGATCTTTGAGCTTCTTTCTTGGAATTGAGGCACAAACCACTCGTGAAGGGCTATTCTTATCCCAGAGGAAATACATTGTTGATTTGTTAAGTAAAACAAAGATGTTAAATTGTAAACCTGTTCAAACACCTATGGCTGCCTCAACTAAACTTTCTGCTGTTGATGGCTCTTCTTTTCCTGATATCACTTTGTTTAGGAGTACTGTTGGTAGTCTTCAATACTTGTCATTCACAAGACCAGACTTGTCTTTTGCTGTCAATAAAGTCTGCCAGTTCTTACATGGTCCTAAAGATAGTCATTGGAAAGCTGTGAAGAGAATATTGAGATATTTACGCCATACTTTGGACTTTGGCATTCTCATTAGAAAATCAAATTCTCCCTCTTTAATTGCCTTTGCTGATGCTGATTGGGCTGGTTGTCCAGATGACAGACGCTCAACCGGTGGTTTTTGCATCTTCTTTGGTTCAAATCTTGTGTCTTGGAGCTCCAAGAAGCAGCAAACTGTGGCTAGATCTTCCACTGAAGCGGAATATAGGTCCTTGGCTTTAGCTACTTGTGATTTGATTTGGATTCAAACTTTACTCAAAGAATTGGGTATCCCTCTATACACATGTCCAACTCTATGCTGTGACAACATTGGAGCCACTTATTTAGCAGCAAATCCAGTTATGCATGCAAGAACAAAACATATTGAATTGGATATTACCATTTTGTTAGAGAAAGAGTAGCTGCCAAAAACTTGCACATCACCTTTCTCTCATCAAAAGATCAATTATCTGATATTTTTACCAAACCTTTGGATGGCTTTCGTTTTGAGTCTCTCAGATCAAGCCTCACTGTTCACTCACTCCCGTTTAGCTTGAGGGAGGCTGTTAGAGTAAAAGCCCAGCCCACTGAAGACAAATCTCAGCCCAACACTTTATCTTTCTAGTCTCAGTTCTGCACTTGCTATACACGTGACACACTCACACATTTGCCGATATAAACGGCACTGTAGCTCTTTTTGAAAGGTGAAAAAGATGATTATCCATTTTGTCTTATCGTAGCTTGGGTCTCTGTTTTCCATTAAAATGAGAAATTATATCTTTTCAAAAGTTGCTTTGTTCAGAGTC